GAGCAAGAAGTGAGCCCCTGTCCTCAGGCCCCTCACAAGGAGAGAGGTGATGTTAGAAGAGAAAGGCTGGGGGCAGGGCTCCATGCTGACTTAACTTTTTCATGGTCTAAAACAAAGTTCACCTGCTTTCTCCAAATCTGCTTCTCATCTGGAACTCCTTACCCAACTAAACTAAAAATCCAGGAGTCTTTTTTTTCTTTTCTCCTCCTGTGACCTCCTGAACATCTAACTGATCATTAGAACCGGGCTACCTAGTTGTAGATCCCTGGTATTTCTGATGTCCTTCTGTCTGTTTTTCTCCATTCCCCCTGCCAATTCCCACTCCACTGCCTCACTCCTAGATGTAACAGCAACCTCCTAATTTGCCTTCTAGTCTGCAGTTACCTTCTTCCAATCCACCCTCTTAAAAGAAAAAAAAAAAAAATTTTTTTTCAATTCCTTAAAAATCCTTCAATGGTGGGACCAGCAGATGGCATAATGGTTACATCACTGGACTCCCATGTAGTTGACTGCAGTTTGAGTCACAGACACGGTGGCTTAAAATTCATGCCAGGTATGTGTGCATGCGTGCCCAAAATCCCTGAAGGAGAAGGGACTGCGGCATGGCCATTCCCCCAGTTCTCACTTTCTGCCTCTCTCTGGTGAGCACATGCGCCCTATAGCAAAAATCTCTCTTAAAAAAACAAACCAAAAAAACCTCAAAGTATCTTACAGAAAAAGTTCACACTCTTAAACATTTCTGACAGCCCTCCAAGATCCTGTGCTTGCTACTCACCAGGCAAAATTCAAGCACTCTCCTTCATGTTTCCTGAGCACCTCAAGCCTCCCAGCAGCTCCCAGGGCTTTTCACCCAGCAAACTACTCCTTAGTCTTCACTAACATTGCAGCAAACTACTCCTTAGTCTTCACTAACATTGCTGCCCAGAGGTTCTTGTTTTTCTTGTACATACCTCAACAACAGTACTTGATACTACATGGTAATTGTTTGATTTCCTTCTCTCTCCCACATCAATTAATTTTAATTTCTTTAAATGCTATTGGGTGAACAATTTGAGATGGGGTTTTGGGGGTTGGGGAGGGTGAAAGTTAGTTCCAATCTCATCATGAATGAGTTCTGCAAAACAACACTTCTACAGAATAACTATGCATTCCAAGCAAACTAGATAGATGTTACTAGGGTATTTATATAGCCACTGCGGTGAATTTATGGCCAGTTGCTAAGCAGTAAAATGTAGTGAAATAGCTTTAGAGTTAAGGAGCCCTGGATTTGAATTCCAACCATCACTTCTAAATCATGTCACTAGGGACGAGTTACTTACCCTAAATTTCAGTTTCCTCACCTATAAAATAAGGGAAGTAGTACCTACTGATAGCACTGTTTTATCAGAGACAAGGGCTATAAAGTGCCTGGCACAGAGTAGGCTTTTAAGGCTATTAATAAATGTCAGTCCTTTTCCACTTACAGAACGCCAAGTCCAAAGCCATATATTCTGCATTTGGGAAGGATCACATAAGAGTGTTCTAACACTTTAGAACATTCTTCTAAAATCTTGACCACACCCTGAATCCCAGCCAGCCATCTTGCACATGAACTAGGTCATAAAGAAGATTTGGAGAACACACACAAGCACGCACACAAGTCATTTCGATGCAATCTAGTCACCACTATTGAAAAACAGTTTGAAACACCTGCCCTAGGCACACACAGCAGCAGCTCAGTATAAGAAAAACAGCACGAGGAGGTTACACAATGAACGTCACGCAGATAATGATGCCGTGGAATGCAGGTTCCTTACGAGCATCAATTTAGTCATGGATCTACTATACAGCAATGAACACACTGTAATGCAACATATAAATAATAAACAGCAAGGGAGTTAAAGTATGCTATTTACAAAGCACAAGAGGAAAAAAAAAAGCCTAAGAACTCAAGGCGATCTGTAAGAGGGTCCAAAAAGTGCCCATAACATGGAATCTTCTAAGCCAATAGCCTCATTAAACCAGCCTTTATTTTTTATAAACTGAATTCTCACACATTTTCATTTTATTAAAATATGAAATTCTGTCTTACCTAATTTCCTAAATTAGAGAGAAAGATGACTGCCTTGCCTGTTTTAGCCCTGCATTTTCAGTAATATAAATGTAATATTTTCTAATGACATCAACGTCACCTGCCATTTCTGTGACGAACGTTTTCACCAATGGAGTAACAACACAAAGACAAAAGTTTTGGAAATAGCTCTGTTGAGAATTGCCCACTGACCCCAGAATTAAAGAAATTGGGTTAAAAAGAAAAGGGGGTTAGCAGGTGGCTGGAGGATTGTGGCATGGCCATCCCCCCCAGGGAGTGTTTACTCACTTTCCCTCTCACTGTCTCTTTCTATCTCTCCAGCAAGCACACATGGCAGAAAGCAAAAGCCGTTTAAAAAAAAAAAAAAAAAACAACTTTCAGGACCAGCAGTTAGTATAATGGCTATGTCGCTGGACTCCCACATAGTCGACCGCAGTTCGTATCCCAGACCCAGTGGCTTGAAACTCACGCCAAGCACGTGTCCGTGAGTGCCCAAGATCCCAAGAGGAGAATGGAGAAGGGACTGCGGTGTGGCCATCCCCCCCCTGGGGGGTGATTTCTCACTTTCTGTCTATCTCTCTCTGTCTGGCGAGCGCACGCACCCTATAGTAAAAACCTCTAAAAAAATAAATGAATAAAAATTTAAAAATTAAAAAAAAAAACTTTCAAGAAATTTTCCCCAGAAAACTACTTGTTCAAGGTTCTGCTGAGAGTAAAATTACCAGTTATTAAATTGTCCCTTTGTATTCAGAGTAACTAATTTGCTAAAGATAATCTGATATTGATCTAGTATTAAGGGATTAAATTTTTCACGTTTATTTTAATATTCTGTTGACCCTGAAAAAAGTTTCTTCTAGTTCTCCCACAAAGATTACAAGTGTTCCATATATGGTCACAAAAGTTACACCTTCCTCAAGGACTGGGTAAAGTGAAGAGACACATTTCAGATTATACAGTATCTTTAACAGGTCTGTACAATTTATTGCTTTGAAAACAACTTCTTGGTGAAAACTCGAGTACATAAAAGCTTCTACATGAGGGACTATTTAGAAATCATCAAGTAACAGAGTCATTTCAGAGAGTAAAAAACGACGGGAAAAACACACTTTTTTTTTTTGAGAGGTTTTTGCTATAGGGCTCGTGCGCTCACCAAAAAGACAGAGAGAGAGAGACAGAAACGGAGAAATCACCCCCCAGGGAGGATGCCCACACAGCAATCCCTTCTCCCCCATTCTCCTCTCCGGATCTTGGGCACGCACGTACAAGCGCCCGGAGTGAGTTTAAGTCACTGGGTCAGGGACTTGAACCATGGTCAGCTACATGGGAGTTCAGCGACATAGCCATTACGCTAACTGCTGGTCCCAAACACAGACTCTTTGCCTTAAAAAAAATTACCCATTAGAAAGAACATTAAAGAAAAAGAGGGTAAGGGTGAGATACTGTAAAGATTATATAAAAAAACAAGTGTCTCTAAGGCTATTTCCTACTTAACTGAATGAAACTGTTCAATATTCTTCAAAGTTAAGATTACATTTCTGGGCCCAGTCGCTGCACAATACTGGAGCCATATGGGAAGGCCTGGAGTTCAGACACAGGGCAGGCATAAGCATGTAGCCAGGAAGCAGGGACTGCAGCATGACAAGACTCTGTAGAGAGTCACAGTATTCTCGCTGTCTCTCATGAAACCAACAAATTAATTAATTTTATTTTAAAAAGATTACATTTCTGATATAGTTTAGGAACACAAAGTTAGTAACCCAGGACAGGCAATCCTGACTTTCCAAACAAAAATCACAGCCAACAAAATGATTTGCTTCCTTTCCTACCTGATCCTTAACCCACCACTTGCATGCCCTACCCTGGAGAATGAGTCCATAAATAAACACGGTGACTAGTCTGCAGCTAAAACTGCACCATGGAAGTCTTACAGTACAACCAAACTGATTGAGGACTCCTTTCATACTACTGCAGGCAAGTTTCTAAGAACCAGTGGAAGAAATCAGGAGATAAACAGCTTGAAGAAGGTACCGCCAGCAGGGGTCCTGAAAGGGAAGCTTCCAATTTGTAAAAAAAAGCAGGGAAAAGTCAGGAGAATCACAGAAAGCTCCCTGAATCCTAACTGCCACTGTTTTTACAAAAATCTTATTAATCAATCTTTAAAACATCAAGAAGAGGATCTGCATGATTCCTTTCAGAAATGAGAACAGGGAAGAGTTTTACAAAGTCACTTGCTTCCATTTGCCTCTGGTTCAGTTTCTGCTACATCAAAACCCAAGTTTGAAAGGGACAAGAACAAGGGAAGACTGAAAGAATGCTAGAACTCATTAGTGGTTTACTAAATTACTAGAATTTAACTGGAATCCTGTAAACTGTTCAGAAGATACATATTTTGTAAAATACCAAGGAAAATGTCTGTAAGCCACCCTCAAACACAAAGGTATATTTAATCAATTTATACGAAATAGCCACACATATTTGGGATTTGAAGGATTTCCTTCAAAAACATACATCTACCGTAAATTTTTATTCCATTCAAAATTATCCTTTAAATCCCTGAAAACAAATACACACACACACACACACACACACACACACACACAATCTAACCCGATGTAAATCTAGCCTTTCTTGCTTGCATACTCTATAAAAAAAAAAAAAAGAATGAATATCTCAAGGTGTTTTCCTCTTCTTCAGACCTTAAAAGAAAACCCCAAAAGCAGCAAATGGAGTTCCGACTACAGAAAGAAGGCCAAGAGAATAAAGAAGAATAAAACCAGAGACCCTCTCAGGGAGTCATTTTATTCTCAGAAAATGTCATCTCCACTCTTCCCCAAGCCAAAAGGCCAGGCATTACTGGCGCAATATCATCCCTGTCCAAGCACCAAAGAGTTGCCAACTAATCCCTCAAGGTGTCCCCCAACCTCCTCACCTCATCAGCGCTCAGCTCCTCCATCGCTTTCCTCTTAATGGTGAAAGGCGTTAGGGAGAGATCCTTCTGTTCTCGAGACCAAGGCGGGAAGGAGAGTAGAAGGTGTCTATCGGGCTGTCTAGTCCCCCGAATGGGGGAGGTTTCAGAATTGCATAGTCAGAGGTTAAAAAATAAGAACACGAGAGGCACTGAACTGCCTTGGCTTCGGTCACTCCAATCGCTCCAAAGACTCCTACAGATGCTTGTGCCCTGAGCAGCCTTCTTTGGCCGTCACTGTTGCTGCTACAGGGTTATCTTAAGGCGCCACTTACTACCCTCTGCTTCCCAGGTTACCCCCAGACTAGGCAGCGCGGTATCCAGCTCGTCTCGTGCCCTGAGCCTGCTGTCTTCGTGGAGCCGGCGCGGCAGCTGCGCTTTCTCCAGCAGATCCTGCTCTCCTCCGTACCCTTTGCCCCTGGCGGGAACTGTTCCACTGCAGAGTGGATGCCCCGAGGTAAGGCGACCCCAGAGCAACCCAAGCAGAGCCCAGCACTGTAGAGGGAAGCCCCTCCCCTCCCAAAGCAGGCCGGCCACGCCCCGCCTCCACGCTGGAGCCCGGGCAGGGGGGAGGGGGAGGATGGGACTCGCGATGCTCTCGCTGGAAGAGTAAATCCTCCTACCCCTCCACCCCTACTCTTCTTACCCCCTCGCCCCAGCAAGTATTATTCATCAAAACAACAGGGCGGCCATCTTTGAAAGGGATCACGTGACCCCGCCAAGGAGGCGGGGTTTCTGGCTCCGGACACAGCAGCCAATAGGCCGCGGGCGTCGCGCCGCCGATTTCCTCTCGCCTGCGTCCTCTCCCCGCCCCCACCTC